GGAGAAGTTCCTCAATCCCGCGGATTCTGACCCGGCGGCTTCACCTTCTTCATTGCATTAAGGAAATCGGATTCGTTGTAATATCGATGCCAGCAGGACAGCGGTCGCGCGGACTGGGCAAAATATTTTTGTCCTTGGCCCATATGCATAAGTATGTGTATGATACCTCCCCACACACACCACAACCACCACAACCACCACGACGTCAAAACGACCTTGTGTCACATCTTGCCCTAGTTGGGTGGTCGGGTAAATATACCAACGACAGGCTAATATCGAATATGGTGTATTTTTTATGAATGGCCGGGAGAGCATTTTAGAATGTTTTAAATCTCTGCGGTTGCCTAGAAAATAAAAAATCAGTAAAATCGCTTACCGATTCTTGTACTGGAATATTCTCCTCGTGTTCACCAGTGGTTATGTTGAAATAGGCTTTTCACAGATGATCAATCTCAATATCATACAGCAATAAAATCTATCTAGAATAAAATGGTTAAATAAGTATTGAGCGGCTCTTTGGGTCAATTAAGTCTCTTAAAACCTTTTCAATAATTTATACCTTCCCATTCAAACTAGTATCCTTATCTTGGTTGTTATACGCACGATTTTTCTGTCGTTGTGACCCCCGGTTTCTTGGAATGTCTATCGTCGTTTTTGGTAGCTTTCAGGGGATTTCTGCGACGGACACGCCTACACAGAAGCGGATGGTAAGTATTTACCTCAATATTACACAACCTATCGGTTTCATCTTTACAAACGTAAATATTAACAATGATTTCAGGAAATGCATTTATCTAAAATTATAAAATAAACATTTAAATAATTTACTAACACCAAAATCAAAAGTGTCTAATAATTTTATCGAATTGCCTTTGTTTGCAAACCAAGCAAGATCGACGACAGTTGAGATCATAGAGTTATTGCGAATTTCACGATTCTTTTATTATATAGCTTCTTTCTCACAGACTGGTTGCTAACCAACGCTAAAGATTCCAGTCTACTCTACTATTTAACACATAGCTTGGGATATGGATTCATACCATTACCATGGATATTAGCAATTGTAATGAAACTTTTCCATTCTGGTGCGAAATTGCCTGATTAATTCCAAAATAACAATAAAAGTTTATGGAAGAAAATCGTTTAGGATTTATCGACAATATAAGTTCGGCCTTATTCGTTTCTAGCCCATCTACCATTACTGGCGTTGTTTACATAAATTTGCCTCGAGTAATAATGCGCGGAAGCTTATCTAGTTAACGGCATTTTACCGATCTTCTTACTCATCTTGATTACTATGGAATTCGCGAAATTGCGCAGTAATCAAGACAAGTGAAGCTTCCACGCATCACTACGCATGTACACAAAGCCAGCAATGGCGGCCGGTGCATAACCGCGACGCGAAAGAGGCCGAACTTATATTTTCGATAACACCGAAACGGTTTTCTTTTATTGTTATTTTCGAAATAATCATGCAAATTTACACCAGAATGGACATTTTCATTACAGTTGGTTTCAGTTGCTTAATCTGCAAATTTACCATGTAACGAAACCGACTGAAATTTGAACTCTAATCAATGCAACTTCAGTAACTGGTTTTGTTGTTATATCAGTATGTTTACCTGCTGAAACATCCAATTACGCTTCGTTTGTAAAGTCTTGACTAATGGAAGAGGATACTTATTTTATATATCTCGGCACATGTGACCACTGATTCTTTCTTCATCCTGTAACATGTGATAAAAAAGAGCTTCGTACCATGAATTTGCCGCCTCCATCATTTAATGTTGGGGCGATGTACATTAGCTTCAGTTCTTCGTATTCTTCCTCCAAATTTGGGAATTGATGCTAAATAATTCTATAAGCTTAAGACATATGCACTTCCCGTTTTGGGGAACTAATTGTAATGACGAATGCATCACCCTAACTAGTAATCATACCTGGTAGTTAATAAATTTGGTGTGCATCAACATACCTTAAGTTTTGCAAGGTAGTGGAAGCGTACACGGTGGATTAAAAGAAAAATATTGTTTTTTTTTTCTCTCGGTGAGAACACAAGATTATATACAGTTAGAATAAGAAAGGAAATAATTTTGGAACTCGATTTACCTGTTCTGCCCACCCATCCCCGTCATATTCACCTGACCTTGCACCAACGGATTATTACCTTTTTCGATCGCTGCAAATTTAGATTCAAGACTTGGTCAAAAACTTTTTCAAATTAAAGTATGCGAAATTTTAACCCAAAAAGTATCCAAGAGCTGCTGCTGATAGTTTTACTCAAAACGTCATTGGAAATGTCGGCGAAAATATAAAATAAAATAAAATGTAATTATATTTTTTCGTTCTTTTTTATTTAAGATTAAAGTTTATAAACAAAACGGAAATTCTTTATGACTCAACCTTATATCTTAATATCCTAGTCTCTATAGATCACAGAATATTATTACGGAAACTAACAATCTTACCTTAATGCACCTTACCAAACCTTTGACGTGACTGAGTCATTTTATGCCAAAACTGATTTATTGGTTTTCGTTTTTACATTTTCAGATATAATCCAACTGATTTAAGGACTGTTATAATTCTATTTTGTTTTAATATTTTCGAATAGTTCTTTTAGGCAGTCTGCCTTGAAGAAATCGTGTCTTTTGGAATCAAGGTCAATGCATTTAATTAGAAAATGATTTACCATATATTGGATTTGGCATGTAGGACACCATGGCGGTTCTTCTTGTTTCAGTAAAAATGAATGCATCATTTTAGTTTGACCTATTCATAGTCGTGATATAGTAACCTCTTCCCTACGGGATTTTCCATAATGGCAGTTTTTTCCCCCCGAAGGGCTGGTAAGATTTGTATTTAGATTGTTTTGTGTTTTTTTGCTTCATTGTTGCTTCCATTGATTTTGCTTTTTTCTTAGTTAATAGTTTTAGATCAGTAAATGGGATTTGGCAATTTTCAGGAACTAGTAATCTTAATGCCTTTTAACACTTTATCTGCTTTAACATTGCCTTTAATTCCAACATGGCTAGGAATCGAAACAGAATTTTTTCTAAAGGTTAAGATCGCATAGATTTTTTCCAATATAGCTATCAAAATATTTTCCAGCTTTTTTGTTTTTGATCGATATTAATACTGATATGGAATCAGAAAAGATGACAAATTTGGAAGATTTTTCTTTGATGATTACATCGAGGGCAATATCTATTGCTTTGATTTCTGCACTAAATATGGAAGCTTCATTTGGGTGACATTTTTAAATTGTTTCATTATTAAAAATAATTGCAAATCCTACTCTATCACTGTCTTTAAAATCATCCGTATATATGCGCATATATTCTGGATATTGTTATCTAATATCTTGTATTTCCTCTTGAAATTGAGATATATATCGAAAGTATTTCTGCAGCACACTGTATACAGAGTGCGATGGGTAAATTGTCGCCATTTTATATTTTTAATTTCGCGCATGCGCGTTATTTGTTTTTGACTTCGTCTACTGCACAGTATAGTAGGGTCAGTCGGGTACGGTCTGTGAGAAAAACTCCATGACTCAATTTAATCTGCCATAAATTTGGAAACAGCACTAGGCATTTTTTCCGAAAGTTCCAATACGAATATTTCAGAGTATTTGAGTGCCAATCTGAGGACAACGAAGAGGATTCGGAAAGAGTTAAATGAGTCTAATGGTGATTACGAAGGTACAGCAGCTCGAAAAACTCACTCTGATCGTTCTCCATAAGAAAAGAACTCCCGAATCTGTTGGTGAAAGCCTCGAAATCAACACGGACTAAATTCTTATTTAAATTAAGGATAACTTTGGGTTTCCTTATTGTCCCAGATAAATTTTGTCAGTCGTAATTTTTCGTGATGTACAAGATCGTGTTATCGGAGTGTGTTGCTTTACGTCTGTTATCCCTGATACTCGATTGATAGATTTGTTTTTACGGCTTATCAACCTTTTCAGGTTATTTAAAGCCAGCAAATATATTTAGATTATAAGACTTTTAGGGGCAAATAACAATGGTTTACTGATACAAGGTCTACTATTTAACCCATAGCTGGAGGGAGAAAAAGTGGATTCATACCTATCTTTATGTTGTTTGCGCTTAAGTGAATATAACGATCCAGGCTGGAATTGGAAATTGGTTTTTCGATTTCCAGTTCCGAGCTATTATCCATTAAACCAATGATTTCCAACGTGAAGCGCATACCGCACCGGTGGGGCATGGTAATATTTAGGTGGGGCATGCGTAGGATGTGCAGCCTTCTTTCTGATCTAAACGAATTGATTTTCCAACATTAGTGATGCAGACAATGCTAGTGGATATTTCTGATATTTCGATGCAGTACCAAGAAGAACTCTTGGAGATGCAAAATGATGAATCTGTTAACACTTTATTCAATATAAAAGAAGTGACGGCATGGCTTAACTAATATCCAAATTCAACCACCGTTGCAAGAAATTTGTTGTTACCATTTCCATCTTAATATTTAGCTGAACATGGCTTTAGTGCTGTAAATGATTTGTTATTGAAGGAATGAAATCGACTGGATATCACTAAACGAGAAGACTTGAGGCTTAAGTTGACTAAATTGGTGTCTAATATAAAATCTATCTGTGGTCATTTTGCAATGAGCTCAAATTTTATTTTGCATTATTATTTCATGATTAAAATGATCAAAGTATATTACAGAATAAACTTTCATTCAAATATTTTATATTTCTGCTTTTTAGTTCTCTATTATACATTTTAAAACTATATATATTTAACTGCCTTTTTATTTTGATTTTTCTCTTTCATTGACGCCATGGTCTTTGGAGGCTTGTTTAGAGATAAAGTTAATGGCATTTTAAGCTTTCTTCACGTGAATTGCAGTAAAATTTTGAATATGAAAGAATTAAATATTACAGCGTGGGACACTAGAATTTTAGAAAAACCAAAGTGGGGTATGGTCCAAAATCGGTTGAATTACACTAAACCGAACAGCTACGTTTACAGCAGCTGGTATTCCCAACTGGTCACCCATCTAGGTAATGACCTGGCTCGACGTTGCTTAAATTAGCTGATCGGACGAGAACCGGTGTTTCAACGTAGTAATACCGTAACCCTATTTGAATCTGGGGATTTTCTTCTCGGTTTTTGCCGAGAAATCTTCACTATCTTTCTTACATCCTTGACATCCTTTAATGAGGTATCGGACATCAATCAGCAGGAGATCTCGGTATGATTCCAGTGACATTTTGTGCAGAGTGAATTAATTCGACTCCAGACCGGCTATGGCATTCTGATACTTGTCAATAGCCGCCATTGCTTTTGTTCGAAGACGCAAGAAACTACAGCAAGCCATGGCGTGAAGCCACATGGATTGCGTCGATATAACGATTCTTGGCAGTTGGTGACATTATCACTGTTTTCTAGTTTACACAAGAACTGTACAAGTTATTTATACGAATGAATCTCTCTTTCTCTCTCTCTCTTTCTCTCTCTCTCTTTCTCTCTCTTTCTCTCTCTGCACGCTTCTCTTTTATGCGTTTTTTCTTCTTTTTTACTGTTTCTTTCTATCTTGGCATAGGTGCATCTGTGATAACAAACATACACCCTCAACTAAATAAGTTAGACATCAGTGTACATATCTAGGACGCGGTTCGCGTAGTATGGTTGATCTGCTGAAGACTGAATCAAAACTACGGTTAAGGGCAAAATAATTTGTTAAAAAGCGATACTATTCTTTGAAATCTTTGGTCGTTATGGTTTCCAACCTAAGATCGAGTTTTTCTGTACTGGAATCATTTACACTTTCTGACCTGACAACGTACAAATTTATATTAATCACGAATTTGGAGACTCGAAGGCGATGAGAAGTGAGGAAAAGAGAAGTGAATAAGAACAAGTAGACGGTAAGAAAGGAAGAGAAATACGAAAAAGAAAATAAGTAACAAAATTTTATATATATATATATATATGACACTACATGCCTATCTAGAGGACTATCGTTACACCTAGCTGACCATAACTTGATTATAATAGCCACATGCAAAAAAAAATTGTAAATAATGGAAGCACTAATAATAGAAAAAAAAAGGAAAATACTCAATAACATTAACTATGAAAACGGCCACAACGTGCTGACCGTGTTTGGAAAATACAACAGTGTTATAACTTCAAGTAAATACGTAAAAATAATGCACACAATCAGCTGAGAATAAAAATTAAAATTGTCCTTGGTAATGGCTAAAAGAAAGGACGAAAACGCTCAGATATGCAGAAATTTTGGATAGTTTTACACAGAAAAGAAAAGTTTGTTTTTTATTCAGAAAAGAAAACAATTGTACGAACACGAAAAATTAAATAAATCAATTAATCTTAATCTCTCTCTCTCTCTCTCTCTATATATATATATATATATATATATATATATATATATATATATATATATATATATATATATATATATATATGTATGAGAGCAGAAAATGATTTCAATAGTTTTATCGACATGTTGAACGGACGAACGTTTTGCCGCGAAAAACTAAACTCGGTCAAATAAATAAGGTTATTGTACTTTTAGTGATCAAATAAATATATAGACAGGTCACGAGAGAAAAACCTCCCACATAATTGTAAGACGTTTGGGAGAATGTTGTCTTCATCTACCTAATATGTTACCATTATGTGGGAGATATTTTGGGGAGGTATATGTGGGAGGTTTTTCTCTAACACCCTTTATACAGGGTGCGATGGGTAAATTTTCGCCATTTTATATTTTTAATTTTGCTCATGGGCGTTGTTTGTTTTGGATTTTGTCTGCACACTATAGTAGAGTCAGTTGAGCACCAACTGTGAGAGAAAAGGCACCATGAGGCAACTCAATCCACCAGAAATTCATTTGGGTGTTAATCTGAGGACATTGCAGATGATTCGAAAATAGTTGAAGGTGCCTAATGGTGATTACGAAGTTACGACAGCTCGTAATACTAACACTGTTCTGATGTGAAAAAATCTCCCGATTTTTTTGTAAGGGCCCCAGACTCAACACAAAGCTTTACATCGAGCATCGAGGAGGCAATGCTGCCCTGAGTCAAGAGGGTGGCTGCTGGAAGACCCTATGTCCGGCAAGAGGACGCTGCACCATGCCGCACAAGCAGGCGAACCCAGTCATGGCTGTCAGACAATTTCTGCAACCACATCACCCCTTACATCTGGCCAAGATGTAAGACATTTTTGTGCAATTTTGGTAAATGTAACTGTTAAAATAAGATATCAGTGTTATTATTTATCCATCTCACTATATAAAGTAAATATAATAAATAATCAACAAGGGCGTTTTCGTTGTTTTTAATTAAACGTGTATATATATATATATATATATATGTGTGTGTGCGTGTGTGTGTGTGTGCGCGTGTGTGTGTGTGTGTGTGTGCGTGTGTTCCTACCTGACACCAAACTCTCTAGACTGCAACCCCCTTTGATTATGTGTGCGGCGCAGTTGAGCGAGAGACCAACAAAATTTCTTGTAACACCAAATATGAACTGAAGGCAAAGATTATGGCAGTACTCACCAACTTAAACAAAGAGATGCAATTTCCGAATTTTCTTGTTGAATAAATGTACTCTTTTTTTATTTGAAATATTTTTGTGTCATTTTTGTAAATATATCTTTTAAAATGAGATGTTATTTTTATTTTTGATCATGTCGACGACAATTTATATATATATATATATATATATATATATGTGTGTGTGTGTGTGTGTGTGTGTGTGTGTGTGTGTGTGTGTGTTTATATATGTATATGTATATATGTATATATGTATGTATGTACATATATATATGTGTGTGTGTGTGTGTGCGTGTGTGTGAGTGTGTGTCTGTGTGTCTGTGTGCGCGTGTATATGTAGGGATAGATGGATAAATAGTTACGTTGTATATGTATGGATGTGTGTAAGCTTTTATGTAGATATGTTTATGTGCACATATGTGTATGTCTATGTGTATGTGTATATGTATGCATGAGTGTATGTGTATTGATATACACACACACACATATATATATATATATATATAGAGAGAGAGAGAGAGAGAGAGAGATGCACACGTATATGTATGTATGTGCGTATAGATCTAGATATGTTGTTGAGTAAGTGTGTATCTACGTATGCGTTTTTGGGCTTAGAAATAATAGTTCCTTACTAGATTAAATATTAGTTAGATTTCATGTTTATGCTAAATTTGTAGCCTGTAGGTGATGTTGCTTGTTTTGTCAAATTTTCTTTATTACACATCGGTTCTCTTATAAATGCCCTTCGTTTTTAGTTTGCCCCTCACCCACCTTTATTTTTCAATTCTCTCATTTTCTGGATTTTAAGTTTAGATAATATCGTTTTTTATTGTGCGTAGTGTCACCACAAATGTATACACACATTTCCGGTGTCTGTTTATTTATTTTTTTTTAATTTTAATGTAGGTCAGCGATTCAGTAGCGAATTGCATCGATAAATAATTCATATTTATCTGTATCTCACTCATTTAAATTTTAATCCCCACCTTCACCTTTAGGCCTTTCCTGTTTTTTCTTTCTTGTTTCTTCTATTACCCTCTCTCTCTAAAGCTTTCATACATCTCACTTTCAAACTTGTGTCCTACTCCCACACATACACTCTCACTAAAGGAGTTATATTTTCCGATTTCTTTTTGAATTTGTAGGTCTGATCAATTGGATAGTGATGTGATTATGATTCCAATGTAATAAATTATAACCATGGAATATTAGTGTTTGAGCATTTTTTATTATATATATATATATATATATATATATATATATATATATATATATATATTGTTAGCGCCTTGTTAGGGCCAGAAATAAAGACACAAGAAAGGAATTGAGTTAAACAAATATATTGACAGAAACAGTAATACAAACGAGAGTGGAGACAGGGAGATGGAGATTAAAGAAAATCCTAAAGATACGGTCTTGCTGGTTGAGCATATTATGAAAGCTAACAGTGTGAAGGTTGGGTGTAAACCTATTGGAATTAAAATCACTCCCGGTAAGGGAATTCATGTACAATAGATGTCACCTGACCATCATCCAGTAACTGTTATCAAAAAACAACGACGTATAGGTGATGAAACTGCTTGGAATTTATCTTTTGCCCGGTAAAGGGGGACATATGCGACACGTGCCACCGAAACGTCATCCAGCGACTGTTCACATCAAACAAAAATAATTCTCGGCACATGGAAAGTCAGAAGACTAAATCAATGTGGCCAGTTAGAAAATATAAAGCAGGAAATGAACAAGTTAAATATTAATATTTCAGGGGTATGTGAAATGATGTGGGAAATCAATATTCATTTCGTCAGTAAGAAAAAAATAAGAGAGGAGTTGGACTGATATTAGATAAAGACAATAAGAAATTTGTTTTGGGATACTATAAACTATAAAAAAAAATGAAGGAAATCCTTTCAAAATATTCATATCTGTATATGCACCGAGATCACAAGGTATAGACGAAATTGAAATGAATTCCAGTACACTAGACAACGCCAAAGTTCAATGCAAATCGAAAGAAGCTATAATCTTCTTGGGGTACCTGAATGCCAAACTCGGGAAGGAGAGAAATGGTGAAATATGTAGCATAATAAGAACTCGTAATGAACGCGGAGAAAAGTTGGTCCAATGATGCACGATGAATGATCAGGTAGAAGCCCAGCAGGAGAAACGAAAAGCCATATCGATTATATAATTATCAATAAGAGATTCAGAATTGCGGTATTACACTGCAAAATATACCCAAGTCCTGACTGCGATAGTGAGCTTTGTAAACTTAGATTGAAACTACGAAAATTGGAGAAGGTCAAGACAGCACCCAAATACCAATACGACAGACTCTTGAATCTGAAGGAGAAGTATATGGACAGTATTAGAAACAGATAAAATGGATGAAACCCAGAGTGTGACACATTAGGAGAAGATTTAGTAACATCTGCAACCGAGATCATCCCAAAGAAAACTAGACAAAGAAAAAGAATCGATGACAAATGAAATCCTTGTCATGATGAAAAGGTACAGCGCAGAATATAGGACACTACATAAAATT